TCTAGAATTTCTTTTTTTTTTTTATTTATTTATTTGAAAATCAGAGTTACACAGAAAAAGAATGAGAGGCAGAGAGAGAGAGAGGTCTTCCATGTGCTGGTTCACTCCCCAGATGGCTGCAATGGCCAGAGCTGTGCCGATCTGAAGCCAGGAGCCAGCAGCTTCTTCTGGGTCTTCCATCAGGGTGCAGGGGCCCAAGGACTTGGGCCACCTTATACTGCTTTCCCAGGCCATAGCAGAGAGCTGGATCAGAAGTGGAGCAGCTGGGACTCGAACCGGTGCCCATAGGGGATGCCAGCCCTGGTCGTGGCGGCTTTACCCACTATGCCACAGCACTGGCCCCAGGATTTCTAATTTGTCGGTTATATAGTTGTGCATAATGGGCCTCATGTCTTTTTTGTTGTTGTTGTTGTATTTCTTTTTATTTTAAGATTTATTTATTGATTTAAAGGAAGACTTACAGAGAGAGAGGGAGATACAGAGAGGGAAGGAGGGGGAGAGAGAGGGAGAGAGAGGTAGTAGGAGAGAGACAGAGAGAGAGAGAAGATACATACACCCCATTGATTTTTTTTTTTTTTTTTTTCCCAAAATGGCTACAATGGTAAGGGCTGGGTCAGGCTGAAGCCAGGAGATAGAAGCTTCATCTGGGTTTCCCACAGGGGTGCAGGAGCCAAAGCACTTGGGCCATTCTCTGCTGCTTTCCCAGGTCATTAGCAGGGAACTAGATTGGAAATGGAATAGCTTGGACACAAACCGGCACCCATGCCTGTGTCACAGGTGGTTGCTTAACCTGTTATGCAACAATTCTAGCCCTGTGCATTTTTTTTTTTAATTTTTAAATTTTTTAAGATTTATCTATTTATTTGAAAGGTGGAGTTACAGAGAGGCAGAGGCAGAGAGAGAGACAGATCTTCCACTCGCTGGTTCACTTCCCAAATGGCTACAGCAGCCCAAGCTGGGCCGATCCAAAGCCAGGAGCCAGGATCTTCCTCCAGGTCTCCCATGCAGGTGCCACAGCAGAGAACTGGATCGGAAGAGGAGCAGCCAGGTCTCAAACTGGCACCCCTATAGGATGCAGATGGCAGCTTTACCTGCTACACCACAGCGCCGGCCCACGTGCATTTATTTTTGAAGGCTATTTTTTCTACATCACTGATTTTGAACAGTTTGATTATGATGTTCCTTTGGTGTACTTTTCTTGTTTTTTTTTTTTTTTAATGTTTTTATTGAGCTTCTTTGGTCCTTTTGTCTTCAAACTTTTTTTTCTTTCCTTTTTACACATTTATTAGCTTACATGAAATTATCTCATAGCTCACTAATTCTCTCCCTTTTTTAAAAAAATTATTTATTTGAAAGTTTCACAGGGAGAGGAGGAACAGAGAGAGAGAGAGAGAGAGAAAGAGAGAGGGAGGGAGAGAGATCTTCCATCTGTCGGTTCATTCCCCAGCTGGCCATAATGGCCAGAGCTGTGCCGATCTGAAGCCAGGAGCCAGTAGCTTCTTTTGGGTCTCCCATGTTGGGGCAGGGATCCCAAGGACCTGGGCCATCTTTTACTGCTTTCCCAGGCCATAGCAGAGAGCTGGATCGGAAGTGGGGCAGCCAGGACTCGAACCAGCGCCCATATGAGATGTCAGCACTGCAGGCAGTGGCTTTACCCGCTATGCCACAGTGCCAGCCCCACAATTCTCTTTTAAATAAAGTTGCTCTCTCTTTTTTACTTAAAAAATTGGTTATTTTCATTTTATTTGAAAAGCAGAGAGACAGAAGCAGAGTGCAAGACCCAGAGCATTCATAAATGGATTTATGTTTCACTCCCTAAAAGCCTGCCATAGCCAAGGCTGGGCCAGGCTGAAGTCAGCAGCCTGTAATTCCATCTGAGTCTCCCATGTAGGTGGCAGGGACACAAGCACTTGGCCCATCATCTGCTGCCTCACAGGATATGCATAGCAGGTGGCTGGATTGGAAGCAGAGTAACTGAACCAGACACTCAACATGGGATGCAGGCATTCCAATGACTGTGTAACCCTGTGCCAAATGCTCGCCCACAAATTGAGCATATTTTCTTGTGCAATATTTTTACTTGTCCATTAAAAAAATATTTATTTTCTTGAGAGGCAGAGTTACAGGATGAGAGAAGAGACATAGATCTTCCATCTCAGATGGCAAAAAAAAAAAAAAAAAAGGACTGGGCCAGACCAAACCCAGGAGCCAGGAGCTTCTCCCAGGTCTCCCATGTGGGTACGGGGGTCCAATTACTTGGACCATCTTCCACCGCCTTCCCAGGCACATTAGCAGGGAGCTGGATCAGAAGGAGCAACCGGGACTCAAACCTGCGCCCGATGCTGGGGTTGCAGGAGGCAGCCTTACCCACTATGCCATAACTCTGTCCCCTAATTGTTCATTTTTATAAGTCTTCATTAGATCATCTGTAAATCCTTTTGTGGATATTTATAGGAAATGGCTTCATCTACTCCATTAGCTGAATTTTTCACATACTTAATGGTATTTTGTAAGAACGTAGTTCTTAATATACTTAACTTTTTAGAAACTCATTAAATTATTATCGCTTTTATGTTCTTTTTAAAAAATCTTTGTTTACTTCAAGATGTGCAGATTTTCTCTTCAAAATTTTGAAGGTCTTTTCCATTACTACTTTTTTTGTCTCGTTGTTTTTAAGATCTGTTCTTTGTGTGTGTGTGTGTGTGTGTGTATTTCATTTTATTCTGCTTAGAATTCATGTCCTTTTTAAAATCTGGGAAATGCTGGCCCCTTTTAATTATAGTTGTTCCCTATTTTTTCTTTTCTCTTTTTCCGCATCTCTGTTAAATCTTTCTGTTAAAACTTCTCCATGTCTCTGAATTTGTTTGTTTTTTCATATTTTCTATTACTTTGTCTCTGCACTATGTTCTTGGTAATTTCTTTCTTTCTTCTGATTCCCTAATTGTATCCTGAGTTGTGTGTAATTTGCTGTTTAATTGTACACCGAGTTTCTGTCTTCTGTTATTTTTCATTTCCAGAAGTTCTGTTTGGTAGACTTTCATATGTGCCTGGTCTGTTTTCTGTTATTTGTTTAGCTTTCAATCATTCCCTTTTTAAAAAAAGGCATGCAAAATTTATTTTATCCCATATCTAATAAGTAAAGTAGCTGTGTTCTTTGAGGGTTTGTTTTGCAATTTGGTTTTATCCTGATTATTTTTTGTAGTAGTTTGTTTCATTGTGTTTTTTTGATTGTGAAAATCAACCTTGACTGAGACCTCAGGATTACTAGCTGTTCTGTTCTATTTCTGTTATCAGCTTGCTTTCCCATTCTCTGTAGAGGTTTCTTAGAGTTTTCCCCATTTCCCATAAACTTTGATCTTATATCTCTCTATCATAAAAAACAAAAAGCAGAAAAACAGAACAAAAGCCTACCTCCTTTTGTTCCATTTATCTTATATTCACCTAACAATATATATGCAATAAACAGTATGGGCTGAACTGCTTGGTGCTGAAGATACAGAGGTATAGGAAATAATTCTATTCTTTTCCGTTTGGAGCACATGATACCTGGAATGGAGGAAATGTGGGTTAAAAATTATGGATATAATTAATTAAGACTGTGACAAAGTAAAGTCAGTTGGAGAGTAGAATACTGGGGACAGTATTATAGTAGTACTATAGGCTAAAGGACAACAGAATTCAGATAGTACTAGCAGTATTCCAATAATACTTATAGTAAATATTAAGAGGTTACATCTTAAGATGATAAGGAATTAATTACTTTTCCAAAGTAGGAGGTTAGGAACTGTATGTTTGTTAAGCCACAGGAGGGGATACGAATTATGTAATATTGTATTAATTTTAAAACAAATTTAAATGTCTAAAGTGGAAAATCTGGACCTATTTTTAGTGCTATGTTCAATATAGGTACTTTTCTATAATTAGCTTCAAATTTTTCATAATATTGAGAGAAAGAAATTGATAATGGGGATTTATGATTGATTTGTCTGTTATCAATACTGTATGTAGCAACTTAGTTCCATTAAGCTGAATACATGTATCCAAAGTTAGAGTGACTATAATTTTTTTCAGAATGAGGGCTTTGAAAGGGACGGTAGTAGGGAGGATGAGGAATAAAAGCAAAGTGAAACTTTTTTAGCTTTAACATTCTGCAGAACAGTCTTGGAAATTGACATCCTTAGAACTGAGAGTTGTAGGCAGGTTTATTATTTACCTACCCAAACTAATCAGCATTTATTGGGATCTACTTGGACTAAAGGTTGTAAAGATGACTAACATTTTCTTGAGAGTAATCAAGGAATCAAGGAATGAGAGTTCATTCTGAGCACTAGTGTGTTATAAATTATTGGACAATGATGGCCTTAGCTTTTACATAAAATTTGTATTAGAGATGATATATTCGGAAAAGCCTCAAAAATGGTATAAGTGGTTAGCAAGAATTTTTTAAAAATAGTATTTGAGCAGAAAAGGGTAACTATATTTTAAGAATTTTATATTATTACTTTTTAGTTATCTTTGATTTTGTAATTTGAGTAATATTTATAACAGTATGTACATTTTATTTAATGTGAAGAACTAGCTTATATGATTACACATGTTGACAAATATGGTATTTTTATTTGCAAATTAACTTCAGAGAGCTTTAATATGTATATCCTAAGCTAAGTGAAGTAAAAAGAAATTTTTATATTATTCTCTCATAAAGGGGCAGATTATATATTGATAATTATTGTTATTATTAACAATAATATTACTGGTAATACTTTACATTAGTTACTTCTACAGTGTTCAAAACACTTCAGCTTTCATTCTCAGCTGATTTTCATAACAGCCTGATAGGATAAAATTTATCTTCCTTTTACAAATCAGAAAAAGAAAGACTAGCAAGATTGTCATATTCAGTACTTCAATACTATCTCAAGATATTTTATGGTGAAATATTACAATATCAGTATCTCCTTTCTTATCTTTAGACTATAATTTGTATTTTTAATTTGTAGATGAAAATAAAATGTTACCTGCAAGATCAGGATGTACAATAGAAGATCATGTAATTGCAGGAAATGTAGAAGAATTTCGTAAAGATTTCATTTCTAGAATATGGTTGACCTACAGAGAAGAATTTCCTCAAATAGAAGGCTCAGCTTTGACAACTGACTGTGGTTGGGGCTGTACATTGAGAACTGGACAGATGTTGTTGGCTCAAGGACTTATACTACACTTTCTTGGTAGAGGTAAATTACATCTGTGTTGTTTAAACTCCATCTTGTCTATTGCATAAAATTCCATGATATTAATTTATTGACTCTCGGATATTTTCTGAAGGTGTAACTAATCTGGCATATTACAGTTTTATTGAACTGAGTGGCCAAATATAACTTTCATTATTCCCTTTTAAAAATACATTATAAATATACCTTTTTTTTTTTTTTTTTTTGACAGGCAGAGTGGACAGTGAGAGAGAGACAGAGAGAAAGGTCTTCCTTTTGCCGTTGGTTCACCCTCCAATGGCTGCCGTGGCCGGTGTGCTGCGGCCGGTGCACTGCGCTGATCCGAAGGCCAGGTGCTTCTCCTGGTCTCCCATGGGGTGCAGGGCCCAAGCACCTGGGCCATCCTCCACTGCACTCCCTGGCCACAGCATAGAGCTGGCCTGAAAGAGGGGCAACCGGGACAGAATCTGGCGCCCCGACCGGGACTAGAACCCGGTGTGCCAGCGCCGCTAGGCGGAGGATTAGCCTGTTGAGCCGCGGCACCAGTCGATATACCTTTTTTTTTTTTTTTAATTTATTTATTTGTTTGAAAGGCAGAGTTACAGAGAGGTAGGGACAGAGAAAGAGAGAGAGAGAGAGAGAGAGAGGTCTTCCATCCGCTGGTTCACTTCCCAAATGGCCACAACGGCCAGAGCTTCCTCCAGGTTGCCCATTAAGGACTTGGGCCACCTTCTGCTGCTTTCCCAGGACATTGCAGAGAACTGGATTGAAAGTGGAGCAGCCAGGACTCGAACCAGTGCCCAAATAAGATGCTGGCACTGCAGGTGATGGTTTTACCCGCATACGCCACAGCACTGACCCCCTAATATACCTTTTATTTTTCATCATCACCATGAAATTTAGTTCAAATTTTAGTAACCTTTAGATTTTTTGGGGGCATTACTTTCCCTTTTAGTTGAACTCTGGATTATATTCAGTGAGTCCTGGGCAAGTGAATAGTTGTGATTTTGGTGAGATAATTTATAATTTTTATTTGTTTTCATTTGATTTGAAAGAGAGAGAGAGACAAACATGAAGAGAGCTTTTATTTACTGGTTCACTCCCCAAGTGCCTGTAACAAACAGGTTGAAGCCAGGAGTGTAGAACTTATTTTAGGTCTTGCATGTGAGCAGCAGAGACTTAGCTACCTGAGCCATCATCCACTGCTTCCTAAAGTGGGCACCACAGGAAGCTGGAACCTGAAGTAGAACTGGGCTTTAAACCTAGCTATTCTGATATAGGATGTAGGTGTCCCAAGTAGCATCCTAACCACTGTTTCAAATGTCCACCCTGTTTATGTTTTTTAAATCTTAAGAGTTTAAGAGTTAATAACCAGAATTAATGTTTCTTTATTTTTCCCTACATAGTGATAATTCTTTAAAATTATTTTTATAAATATGACTATAATTATTTACATTCAATTGATTATATTCTTTTAAATCCTCAAAAATTTTATTGACATCTAACATATACATATTATCTATATATTTCCTAATGGAACACCTTCTATTAGTCAATTTTTATAATGTGAACATTTGTCAAGGGATTTTAGTGTACTGTTTTAAGCTGTAATATCTAATTATTACTGAATATTATCATCTTTTTTTAAAGTGTTAAGCAGTATTCTTATAATGCATGACAAATATTTAGTAGGCTTCCATAGAAATTACTTAGAATGTTTTTTGTAGAGTGGTGTGAATAATATAAGGAAAAGGAATATTTTTTATTATTTTTATTTTATTTTTTTATTTATTGATTTATTTTTTGACAGGCAGAGTGGACAGTGAGAGAGAGAGACAGAGAGAAAGGTCTTCCTTTGCCGTTGGTTTACCCTCCCAATGGGCGCCTGCGGGCAGGCCGCTGCGGCCAGCGCACCGCACTGATCGATGGCAGGAGCCAGGTGCTTCTCCTGGTCTCCCATGCGGGTGCAGGGCCCAAGCACTTGGGCCATCCTCCACTGCACTCCCTGGCCACAGCAGAGAGCTGGCCTGGAAGAGGGGCAACCGGGACAGAATCCGGCGCCCCGACCAGGACTAGAATCCGGTGTGCCGGTGCTGCAAGGCGGGGGATTATCCTAGTGAGCTGCGGCGCCGGCCGGAAAAGGAATATTTTTAAAAAGATTTATTTGTTTATTTGAAATGCAGAGTTATGACACAGAGTGAGGGAGGGAGGGAGAGAGAGAGAGATCTTCAATCTGCTGGTTCACTTCCCAAATGGCCACAATGGCTGGAGCTGGGCCGATCCAAAGCCAGGAGCCAGGAGCTTCTTTTGGGCTTCCCAAGTGAGCTCAGGGGCTTAAGCACTTTGGTCATATTCCATTGCTTTCTCAGGCATATTAGCAGGGAGCTGGATTGGAAGTGGAGCTGCCGGGACTCAAACCCACTCCCATATGGGATGCCGGCGCTGCAGGTGGTGGCTTTACCTGCTATGCCACAGTGCCAGCCCCTGGAAAGGGAATTTTTAAACTGATTTTGTGGGTTACTTTATTTGTAGTTTTGTATAATCAAGGGCAATGATTGAATCATATAATAGTCCTCACTAGGTCTTTGAATCTATGTTTTATTTTAATTTAAAATTATGTATTTTTAATAACTTTTTATATAAAGTAACTATAACTTTTGTTATTAGAAGCAGTGATGTAATGGGTATATTTAATTTTTTTACCTTTGATCTTTCATGATTATATTAGCTTTTCATTTACTAGAGAATTGGTATTACTCCTTAAAAATATGTAGTTATTCTAAAAGAATGTGTAGGAAAATGTAGTCTAAAAAATGTAAAATTTCTGTGATCAAACTTCTGCTTTAATATGTGATCAAAACATAATCCACTTTCCAAAGATATTTATTCATGTCATATATTGTTAGTAAATATCTTTGTCATGCCTTTGGATAGTCGAGATTAGGTGTCTGATAAGCAGTCTAGTTATGGCATAAAAAGATTTTTCCATCTCAACATTGTTACAGGAAAACATATTACAGAATTCCCCTTGTCTACCTGAATTTACTATCTTTTCTTTTGTTTTTGATTTTATGTTTTCCCCTGATTATATAGATATTATCATTTTAGGAACTGAAAACTATAGAAAAGTCCAGAGAATAATATAAGCAGTCAGATATAAAAGTTATTGATATTGACTTATTTTTCTGATTGTATCATTTTTAAAGGAGCTTTTTTCTTTCAAAACATTATTTATTGGGGCCGTTGCTGTGGCACAGTGGGTAAAGCTACCGCCTGCAGTGCCAGCATCCCATATGGGCACCTGTTCAAGACCTGGCTGCTCCTCTTCTGATCCAGCTCTCTGCTATGGCCTGGGAAAGCAGTACAAGATGGCCCAAGTGCTTGGGCCCCTGCATCTGCATGGGAGACCTGTAAGAGGCTCCTGGCTCCTGGCTTTGGATCAGCCCAGCTCCAGCCATTGTGGCCATTGGGCAGTGAACCATTGGATGGAAGACCTCTCTCTCTCTCTCTCTGCCTCTCTGTAACTGCCTTTCAAATGAATAAGTCTTTTAAAAACTTAATTTATTTATTTGAGAGAGAGTGAGAGAGTAGGCTGCATGAGCATGCTCCTATCTGCTGTTTCACTCCCCAAAATGCCCCTGATGACCAGGACTGTGTTGAGACTGAAGCTGGGAGTTGGGAACTCATTCCAGGTCTCCTTTGTGGGTGTCAGGAACCTGGTTACATGGGCTGTCACTGCTGCCTCTCAGTATCTGCACTAAAAGGAAGCTGGAGTCAGGAGACAGAAATGAGAAATGAACCCAGGCACTCTGATAAGGTGTTCAGGTATCTTAAGTACTAGACCAAATGTCTGCCTCTAAGCAGCTTTATTGGGATTTATTCCGTGTACCCTAAATTCATGCATTTAGTCAACAATTAATTAGTTCTTAGGCTATTTATAGAGTTCTGAAACTATGACCCTACTCTAATTTTAGAACATTTTCATCATCCCCTAAAGAAACCTATAGCCATTAGTAGACATTCCAATACTTCTCCATACTCAATCATTATCTACTTTCTCTCTCTGTGTATTTACATATTCCTGAGTTTACTATTTTAGTTTAGTGACCCATGTAACTGTAAATTCTACCTACATATTTTAGTAGATTTGTTGAAATCTAACTAGTTAAAAAATCTGAACACCTTGCTTTGGAACTACTATAGCTTGGACCTGGCCTGATGCTTTGAACATTGAAAATTCAGACTCTGAATCGTGGACTTCTCACACCGTAAAAAAATTTACTGCATCATTTGAAGCCTCGCTTTCAGGGGAAAGAGAACTCAAAACTCCGACAATTTGTCTGAAGGAAACAATCGGGAAGTGTTCTGAGGATCACGAGACAGAAAATGAAATTTGTCATAGGAAAATCATCTCTTGGTTTGGTGACTCCCCCCTGGCGGCCTTTGGCTTACATCAACTAATAGAATATGGAAAGAAGTCTGGGAAGAAAGCTGGAGATTGGTATGGACCAGCTGTAGTTGCTCACATATTAAGGTATAATTGTTTTAAAACCTTTCATGTTTTACAAAGGTCCTCAAGCTCAGAGTTAGATTGCAATGCCTGTATATAATTGGAACTTTAAAAATGTAACTATGTTCATAAAAGAGCTCATATTTGCTAATGGGGAAAAAACAGTGTATTGCAACACTAGTTACATTTAATTTATCTACTGACCAGTTTTTCTTCTCTTGTTCTTAGGTTTAAATATCCAGGGTCTCATTAGATTAGCTTATGGAGATGTTCTAAAAAAGTGACATCTCTTTCAACCTTGGAATATACGTAGCATAGTTTTTTTTTTTTTTTTTCTTAAATAGTTACCTGGGGCTGTAATGAACTAATAGTATAATGAAATGTCAATAGCTAAAATTGATGTTCTCAACATTTCTTTGCATACATCAGATTCTTGTGAATTGTAAATGTATGGGACTATTAATATTCTAATTATATAACAGAAAAAATAAAGGGTCTTTGACATTCTGGGTGGTTAGAAAAAAATTGAAAATTTAATTTCACTATATCTTTTCACCTTTTCGTACGATTTATTTGGATGTTAAAATTTTTTTTAAGAAAGCTTAATTTGTTGTGTGTCCCATTATTAAAATAAACTGAATCATTAATAGGTCATATAAGCATAGTGTGTTACAGTGAATTTACTACATTTATAATCATATTTAAATTTAAAATTATTACAAAGCATTTTTCTGTATTAATGTATTTATCCTTCACAGGCTAGATGCTTATGGTTGAAAAAGCGTGTGCCTAATGTTATTAATTAGATTGTTAATAGTGACAATTCCAGATTGTTGTGACATTTATTAAACATAATTTTTAAAGCATAGTTTCTACCATTCCAGATCTGTTTTTTGTAAAGTGCAAATAGTAAATATTTTAGCTTTTAGGTCTGATAAGATTTCTGTTGCCCATTTTTCTTCTTTTTTTCCTTTCAATCCTATAAAACTGTCAAAAACATTCTTATCTTGCTGGTGGTACAAAAACTGGCTATAGGGGCATAGTTTTCCAATCTCTTTTTTATACTAACATAGGAACATGCATATAATAGGGCATTATCAGTTAAAGAATTATAAAGACACAGTTAAATTAAAAAAATTGTATTTCCCCAATTTGCATAATTTTCTTTTACAGATTGTTATTGTGATTTTTTTCGAATCTTGTACACCATTGGGAACATTAAACTCACTGATAAATATTTTTCTTTCTTTTTTTTTTTTTAGACAGGCAGAGTTAGACAGAGAGAGAGACAGAGAAAAAGGTCTTCCTTCCGTTGGTTCACCCTTCAAATGGCCACTACAGCCAGCGTGCTGCGCCGATCCGAAGCCAGGAGCCAGGTGCTTCCTCCTGGTCTCCCATGCGGGTGCAGGCGCCCAAGCACTTGGGCCATCCTCCACTGCACTATTGGGCTACAGCAGAGAGCTGGACTGGAAGAGAAGCAATTGGGACAGAATCCGGCACCCCAACCGAGACTAGAACCCCGGGTGCTAGTGCCACAGGCAGAGGATTAGCCAAGTGAGCCGCGGCGCCGGCCAGAAATATTTTTTAATTTGCAGTTTTACTTAGTATTCCAAGACTTGAAATTAAGAAATTCATATTTTCAAATCATATGTTTTTGAATGAAGGAAAAGATAGTCATGTTATTGTTTGAAGAAAAATTATAAGTGTACCAGAGTACAAACGTAGTAATTCACTTCTGTGAACAAATCTTGAAGCATGTTGTAATACCACTGGTTAGAAAATGCTTAATATAGCCAGTTGAGTGGTTGGGAGGAGGGTATGTCCTTATACCCAAAGTTTTTTCACATATGATACAACTTAGTTTTAGTGTTCCTTTAGTACTTTAGTGTAATATTTGAGTTTGAAAAATTTAACTTGATTTCTAAAACTGTGCAGATGATAGTTTTTGCAGCAGATACTGTAGGTTAAGTAGGAAAGTCAGGTAAATGATGGTCTTTTTTTTCTCTCATAAATGATATCCCTAGTTGCTACCTGGAAATGCTAGTTAAGATTTTAAAGGATGACACTTGTTATTTTCTTAGAAAAGCGGTTGAAGAAGCAAGACACCCTGATTTACAAGGGATAACGGTTTATGTTGCACAGGATTGTACAGGTAATGGATGTAAATAATACTAATTTTTGTCTGTTTTAGTTGTTTAAACTTTTCATATGTGTTTAGGTTATCCTCCCATTTATACTGTAAATGATTAGGACAGTAGCATATTCCTACATAGCACCCTATATTTAGTAGGCACTTATTAAATATTTTTGATTGAGTATATTCTCTGAATTATTAAATACAATGTTAAAATAAACTCTCAAAATTTCATGATTTAAAATAACTACTTTAAAAGAGATAGATGGGAAAATTTAACATAGGTATATACTTGGGCAGCATGTGTAACAATTACCATCTCACTGGTGAATGTGTTTTAAAGAAAAGACAATCTTTAGTTTATCTTACGAAAACTGAGTATGTACTTTAGTAAATCATTTAATGCCTAATGATGCAGTTGTTGTCCAGATACAAACATTAAAAAAAATTTGTTTGAGAGCCAGAGAGTCAGAGAAAGAGCTAAAGAGAGAGACAAATCTGCCATCTACTGGTTCACTCCCCAAATGCCTGCAACAGCCAGGGCTGGACTGGGGCAGAAGCTGGAAGTCAGGAATGCTCCCGTGTCTCCCATGTGGATCACAGGAGATCACATGGATCATTTACTTGAGCCATCACAGCTTCCTCCCAGAGTCTGCATTAATTGGAAGCTGGAATTAGGAGCTAGAGCTGGTAGTTGAATCCAGGTTCACCTATTTGGGATATGGCCATCTTTTTTTTTTTGGTAAAGATTTATTTATTATTTGAAAGAGTTACAGAGAGAGGAGGCAAGTCATAGAGAAACAGAGGGATCTTCCATCAGTTGGTTCACTCCCTAGATGGCTGTTAACAGCCAGACCAGGCTAAAGCGAGGAGCCAGGAGCTTCTTCCAGGTCTCCCACATGGGTGGCAGGGGCCCAAGAACTTAAGCCATCCTCTGCTGCTTTTCCCAAGCCATTAACAGGGAGCTGGAAAGGGAGTCGAACAGCTGGGACTTGAACTGGCACCCGTATAGGACAGCAGCATCGCAGGCAGTGGCTTTATTCACTACACCAAAATGCCAGGCCCATGATGTGGGCATCTTAATTGTTGGGCTAACTGCCTACTTCTGTTGTTCAGACTTTTGCTTTTTTGTTTATTTTGGGTTTTCTGATTGATGATCAATTTCTGTAGTAATTTGGAACTCTGTTGGGGATAAAATAGAGATTTTAATTTCCTAATAAAATAATAGTTCTTTCAATGAAAGAAGTTCTTTCAATGAAGCCACTTCATTCTGTTATTTAATATTTTAGAAATACTGTTAAGAATGAAATATATTAATGTTTTAGAGATGTTAAATACATTTCATTCATGTTTAATATAAGAATATATACAAAGTGTTTAAGATTACCCTGATAACTGACCAGTATTTGTTGTGTGGAAAGAATGGTTACCAAATACAATTTAATTTTACCTTTAGTTAAGGTTAATTTCCTTTTAAAGAAAGATTGTTAGCCATAATTATAACCATATGAAAATGAAAGTTAAAAATTTTCAGATGAATGTATAGTTTTACAGGTACTGTATTTTTCAGGTAGGTAGTCTTGCAAATAAAATGTGCTTTAAGAGTTCTGATTAAGCCTAAAGATGTGCTTAAGCAGTCATTAAATAAATTTACCTTTTTATGCTTATATAGCTATCAGTCTCAGTCTTTCTTATGTAGTTACTTAATTAAATGAACAATACAAAGTTCCTCATTATATAAGTAGTTTATGTAATTTGAAGTAATTCTTAAAATTGTTATTCATGTTTAAGAATCCTAAAGGGAGAATTTTATAAGTGTAGTTTTGATAGACTCAATTAGGATTTAGGTGAAGTCAGAATCTGTCAATGATTTTTTTTCCCTCTTCTGTCTTCATTAGTGTTTTTAAGGGTTTCACATTCCATTTGTTTCACTCTTTTTTATTTTATTTTATTTTTATTTATTTATTTTTTTAGTTTTTGACAGGCAGAGTGGACAGTGAGAGAGAGAGACAAAGGTCTTCTTTTTCCGTTGGTTCACCCCCCCAGTGGCCACCGCGGCCAGTTCACCCCCAAATGGCCACCACGGCCGGTTCACCCCCCAATGGCGCGCTGATCCAAAGCCAGGAGCCAGGTGCCTCTCCTGGTCTCCCATGGGGTGCAGTGCCTAAGGACTTGGGCCATCCTCCAATGCACTCCTGGGCCACAGCAGAGAGCTGGACAGAAAGAGGAGCAACCGGACAGAATCCGGTGCCCCGACTGGGACTAGAACCCCGTGTGCCAGCACCGCAGGCGGAGGATTAGCCTATTGAGCCGCAACACCGGCCCCATTTGTTTCACTCTTTTCATTTGCATTCCTTTGTTTTTGCATCTATTTCCATGGCTTAAGACTGGGCTGGCATTGTGGCAATGGGGGTTAAGCCACCACCTGCTACTCTGGCATCCATATGGACGCCGGTTCGAGTCCTGGCTGCTCCGCTTCCGATCCAGCTCCTTGCTAATGTGCCTGGGAGAACAGCAGAGGAAGGCCCAATTGCTTGGATCCCTGCACCCACATGGGAGATCTGGAAGACGCTCCTGGCTCCTGGCTTTGGCCTGGCCCACACCGGCCATTGCAGCCTTTTGGAGAGTGAACCAGCAGATGAAAGGTCTCTGTCTCTCCCTCTCTTTCTATAACTCTAACTTTGAAATAAATAAATAAATATGTAGTAAATAAATAAATAAATAAATACTTAGGACTGTGACTGTACACTAAGACTTTATTTTCCCTCAAATCTATTTATTTTTAAATTTTTATTTATTTTACTTGAGATGCAGAGAGAAAGAGACCTCCTGTCCACTTTTTCACTCCCTAAATGCCCAGGAGCCAGGAACTCCATCAAGGTCTCCTGGACTTAAGTACTTGAGCTATCACCTGCTGCCTCCAGGATGCGCATTAACTAGAAGCTAGACTAGAGATTGGAGCTTGAATACTGGTGTCCCAACTGGCAGCTTAACCATTGTGCACTAAATGTCCACCCGTACACTAAGACTTTTTTTTTTTTTAAATATTTTTTTATTTGAGAGGCAGAGTTACAGACAGAGAGAGGGAGAGAAAAAGGTCTTTCATCCTCTGGTTAACTTCCCAAATGGCTACAACAGCTGGAGCAGGGCCAATCTGAAGCCAGGAGCTTCTTCCAGGTCTCCCACGTGGGTGCAGGGGCCCAAGCATTCCACTGCTTTCCCAGGCCAAGAGAAGAGAACTGGATTGGAAGAGAAGTAACTGGGACATGAACTGGTACCCATATGGGATAAAAGTGCTGCAGGTGGAGGCTTAGCCTACTACGTAGGCCACAGTGCGGCCCCTACACTAAGGCTTTTAAAACTACATTTCTAGTTCTGCTTGTGAGGTAACTCATTTTCTGTTGCCCTCCAAATGTCTCTACCTAGGTATTGTGTTTGTTTGTTTGTTTTTAGATTTATTTACTTACTTGAAAGTCAGAGTTATACAGAGAGAGGAGAGACAGAGAGAGAAGTCTTTCATACATTGGTTCACTCCCCAATTGGCCACAGCAGCTGGAGCTGTGCCTATCTGAAGCCAGGAGCCAGGAGCTTCCTCCAGGTCTTCCCATGTGGGTGCAGGGGCAAGGACTTGGGCCATCTTCTACTTCTTTCCCAGGCCATAGCAGAAAGCTGGATCAGAAGTGGAGCAGCTGGGACAGCGTCCATATGAGATGCCAGCACTGCAGGCGGCAGCTTTACCAGCTTAGCCGGCCTGTCTACCTAGGTGTTTTAGTAGGACTTCAAATTCAGCATTTTAAAAACTAAATTTATCATTTCCTTCTGTTTCACCTTTTCCCCTTTCTGTTCTCTCCTAATAGTATCACATCCACATGCATATTCAATGTAGGACCCCCTCATTCTTGACTGTTTATGCATTGCTAATATCTAGCCAATCAGAGGCCGGCGCCGCGGCTCACTAGGCTAATCCTCCGCCTAGCGGCGCCAGCACACCGGGTTCTAGTCCCGGTCGGGGCGCCGGATTCTGTCCCGGTTGCCCCTCTTCCAGGCCAGCTCTCTGCTGTGGCCAGGGAGTGCAGTGGAGGATGGCCCAGGTGCTTGGGCCCTGCACCCCATAGGAGACCAGGAAAAGCACCTGGCTCCTGGCTCCTGCCACCGGATCAGCGCGGTGTGCCGGCCGCGGCGGCCATTGGAGGGTGAACCAACGGCAAAGGAAGACCTTTCTCTCTGTCTCTCTCTCACTGTCCACTCTGCCTGTCAAAAAAAAAATTTTTTTTAAATAAATAAATAAATAAATAAATATCTAGCCAATCAGTAAGTTTATCAATTATATTTTTAAAAATGATCTGATATCTGTTATCATTACTCTCATTGATTTATATCAGACCCTTATATCTAACATGGACTTAAACTTGATTTCCCTGCCTTTCTTTTTTTTTGAGCATCTGACCAAAAGATACTGATCGTGTCCTTTAATCTAAAAACTTGTGACTACCTATTAACTCTAATATCAAGTTTTCTGAGCATGTAAAGTCCATGAAGTTCTTCTCAGTTTGTCTTGAGCTGCATGTCTGATATCACCTTCCAATACTGTCTTCCTTACCTAGTACAAAAAGTACTGTCAACCTTCTGGCCGTTCCTCGGACATGCTGTTATAACATTTTTCTGTGTCTTTGTGCAGTGTATTGTCTCTTCTTGGAATGTCCCTTATTACTAGACTGCCTCTTAACTCACACTCAGTTTTCAGGTACATGCTCAAAAGGCTCACCTATGTTGAGGCTCTTCCCAACTCTCTTCAGGCAGAATTAATTTATTTTTCCTCTATATATTTTGGAAATTATTCTATTGAATATGGTGCATTACATTGGTGATAGCCCCCTGTAATCGTCTCTTTCTTCCCGTAGTCCAGTGAATGCTAAGGTGATTGAAGTAGAGGGAAGGTATCAGAATCGTGTGGTTGAGTCACCACTGTGATGAGCCTCCGTTACAGAGCTGTGCTGTCATAGCCCTTACCTGCTGGGAGTGGAAGAAAGCTGCCAAAATGATTGAACTAGGCATTCTTTGAAATCAGGTTCTCCCCTAGCATAAAACGCATCCATAAGTAGCAGTTCCTCTATAAATGTGTGTTGAATAAAGATGAAGGGTAAGAGGCATTTGATAAAGGAGAACGATTATGGCATTTTTGTTGCATTGATTCTAGAGATAGGGAATGTCCGGCCCACAGGCTGTATAAGGCCTGCAACATCATTTTGTCTGGCTCTTCCAAGGCAACCGCAGGTGGGAGTAGAAATTCAATAAATCTGTAGCAGACTAATTTTTAAGTTGGTAATTTTGTGTGATCCATGAATGTTAAAATATCCAAGTGGCCCTTGGAGATAAAAGATTTACACTGGCCATGGGAGATGAGGAAGCTGATATACAGAAGAATATAATTGCTCAGTCTAAATTCAGAACTTAAAGGAAAGTATTGGGATAAAAGTGGCAGAATTTGTTAATTGAGTCTTCTGGGCAGAACAAAAGAATTTGGTTAAACAGGGAATGTGAGTGTCAAATAGTTTTGAATAAAAATATTTTGAGCAAAATAAAATAAAAATTTTGGCCTGTATTTGCTTTCATCAAATTCTCTTGTTTTCTCTTGAACTGTCCACTTAGGCTGTCATACCCACAACTCTGATCAAAACTGCACTTATCCATAATTTAATCTTGCTAAACCCAGCGCTCATTTTTCAGTCCCACATCTCTCATTGGTCAGTTAACTACTTCCTCCTTCTCCTTGTAATATTTTGTTTACTTGATTTCCAGAACACTACTCTTCAGGTTTTCTTCTGCTTCCTTGTCTACTTCTTATTTATTTATTTATTATTATTTTTTTTTTATTTTTGACAGGCAGAGTGGACAGTGAGAGAGAGAGACAGAGAGAAAGGTCTTCCTTTTGCTGTTGGTTCACCCTCTAATGGCCGCCGCGGCCGGCGCACCGCGCTGATCCGATGGCAGAAGCCAGGTACTTATCCTGGTCTCCATGGGGTGCAGGGCCCAAGCACCTGGGCCATCCTCCACTGCACTCCCTGGCCACAGCAGAGAGCTGGCCTGGAAGAGGGGCAACCGGGACAGAATCCGGTGCCCTGACCGGGACTAGAACCCAGGGTGCCGGCGCCGCAAGGTGGAGGATTAGCCTAGTGAGCCGCGGCGCCGGCCTCCTTGTCTACTTCTTTACAGTCTCCCTTGTTGGCCCTGCATCTCCTTGATCTTTAGAAGTATTGGTGTTTTTAGAGCTCAGTTGTAAGACTTCTCTGTCTACACTGATTTGAATTCACCCAGTATTATGGCTTTTCAATACCTTCTGTGTCCTGGCAACTCCAAATTTATGGGTCAATCCCGGTTCTCTCTCCAAACCCCAGTCGTTTACTTCCCTAAATGCCTACTCAACCTCTCCACTTGCATATGGAACAAGTGTCTCAAACGTACAGTGTCTAAAACTGAATTCCCAATCCTCCCTTCTAAATTTCCTCCTTCTTCCATCTTCCCTGTCATTGTAAATGATAACTCTCTTAGTTTGCTTACACCAAAGCCCTTCAGTCACCTGTGACTTTTTTTTCTCTCAAATGTTACATTAAACATATTTATTTATTTATTTATTTAAAAAGCAAAGTGATAGAGGAAAAGAGAGCACAAGCGTGAAAAGTTCTACAGCTGGGGCTGGCCAGGCTGAAGCCAGGAACCAGGAAATCCATCCAGGTCTCCATGGTATGGCAGGAACTCAAGAACTTGAGTCATCATGTCCCCTTATTTTCAGGTGCATTATAAGGGAGCTGACTTAGAAGTGGAGTAATGAACTCAAACTAGCACTCCAATACAGGGTGTGAGCTTTCCAAGCAGTAACTTAACCTGATTTGCCAGGACACCTGCCTCACATCGAACATATGATAGTCCTTACTTTATCTTAAGATATGTGAACTCGTCGTTTTTCACCACCTCCACATGACCATCTTATGGCCATTTTCTTTTTTTTTTTTTTTTTTTTTTAAGATTAATTTATTTGAAAGGAAGAGTTATAGAGAAAGAGGGAGAGACAGAAAGAGAGAAAGAGAGATCTTTCCTTCACAGTGTCACTCCCCAGATGGCCACAATGGTCACGGCTGAGCCGATCTGAAGCCAGGAACCAGCAGCTTCTTCTGGGTCTCCTGTGTGGGTGCTGGGGTCCGAGCACTTGGGCCTTCTTCTACTGCTTTCCCAGGCCATCAGCATAGAGCTGCATCAGAAGTGGAGCAGAACCGGCGGCCATATGCCTTGCCAGCACTGCAGGTGGCAGGTTTACTTGCTGTGCCACAGCACAGGCCCCATTTCCTATTTTTAATTGCTGCTTTTGTCCAAGCCACCATCAGCTCTTCTTTGATAACTGCAGTGACTCTCTAACTGTTCTCCATGCTTCAGCCCTTGCCCCTACAGTCTTTTATCAGTATGGGAACTAGACTGTTCATCTTAGTTCAGGACATTCCTTTCCTTCAAAACAACAAAAAAATACCCCTCAAAACTTCTTCATTGACTTCTCATTTTTGATTCTCTTATTTGATTCTTATTTTGATTCTCTTATTTTTGACTTCTCAAAAATAAGTCATCCAGTGACTTTCAGGAGTTTGCGTAATCTGTCTTCATTCTCTCTCTCTCTCTCTCTCTCTCTCTTATTTATTTATTTATTTATTTGAGAGGCAGAGTTACAGAGAGGCAGAGGCAAAGAGAGGGAGAGAGAGAGAGAGTCTTCCATCCGCTGATTCACTCCCCAATTGGCCACAACAGCCGGAGCCGGGCTGATCTGAAGCCAGGAGCCAGGAGCTTCTTCTGGGTCTCCCATGTAGGTGCAGGAGCCCAAGGACTTGGGCCATCTTCTACGGCTTTCCCAGGCCATCGCAGAGAGCTGGCTGGGAAGAGGAGCAGCCAGGACTGGAACCAGCACCCACATGGGATGCCAGCACTGCAGGTGGATGCTTAGCCTACTGTGCCACAGCGCCGGCCCTGTATCCTTTGCTCACTTTGCTCCAGTAGCAGTGGCCTCTTCTTTCTTAAACCTGCTACCTATGTGTCTGCCGTAAAGCAGTTGCTCTTGTTGATCTTCCTACCTGGAATGTTCTTCCCTAGGTATCTGCATTACTTGTTTTTTTACTTTTTTTTAAAGTGATGATTCAACTATTACTTTCTCATAAGACCTTTCTTAATCACTTTATTTTAAATTGTGCTCACCTATCCTGTCGACCTTTTTTTTTTCTTTCTTCAAAGTACCGATCACCATGTGATATACCTTTTATTTTACTTTTTATTGTCTGTTTCTCACCATTCGTGTATATGCTGTGTGAGGGCAGGAATTTTCCTGCTTTGTCTACTGCTGAATCCCCAGCACCATATATAAATGAGGTAGGTCTTTGTAACTTGCTGAGACCTTGGTAGTGATATCAGAGATCAGATGATGACCAGTGCTGGGGGTTGGAGGGATGGTAATAAAAATGTTTCTGAAAATGACTTCTATGAAATTTAATAGAATATTCATTATATTTTTCTCAGTTTACAGTTCTGATGTAATTGATAAACAGAGTGCTTCCATGACTTCTGATAATACAGATGACAAAGCTGTTATTATTCTAGTTCCTGTTAGACTTGGTGGAGAAAGAACCAACACTGACTACTTAGAGTTTGTAAAGGTATGAACTAAGTGCTCAGTTTTTTAAAGCAATACCAGCCAATATGAAAAATGCAGAAATTTTGCAGTGTTTTTCTATTAATTGAGAGTGCTTTTACTGTTGTTGTCCATTGCAAAGTTGGACATTAGAGATCTTAAATTTCAAGATGAGTTATGACTTGGAGTACAATATTCTATACCAAAATGAAAAGCTTTTAACTTTTGTAGCTAATCAAGGAGGCACAGATACAGTAATAATCATGAATAATAGACTATAGTTTCATTGTACTTTTGTGATTTTTAAAAGTATGTATCTTTATTCATAAAACTGACATTATATAGAATTAATTATTGAAACAAATGGACTTTTCTAATGCTACTGTATTCTTATGCCACCATGAGGTCAATAAAAGATTAGATTATTTATATACACCAAAATAATTATGGTAGTATGAGGAGGTTTCTAGCTTTGTTTTCTTCATACTTGCCGGTTTAAAATCTGTTCTATTTCAGAACTCATAATTCTGTTTCTTGCACCACAACAGTCTGTTTAGTTATGTTGTCTTGGGCACCAAGATATTCAGTTATGATGAAACGACTTTTGAAATACTTAGTTTCTGATTAAAATTATCGTTTTTATATATTCTTTTCATAGTTTCAACAAAATTTCTCATTTTTTAGGAGTCGATTTTCAAGGCCAGAATGGAATTCTTTTTTGAATGAAGTATTATAGGCTATAGTAATGTTGAAATAAAGTCTAAATCTGTCTTTTATGGTTCAGTCACAATTTGTTCCCAACCTGAAGCATTAATCCTGTATTATGGTCCCTACATATATATAGGTCAAGTATGTCCTCAGGCTAGATTGTGCTAATTCTAAAAATCTCGAGCTGGTGTTCTTGATACATGATACATTTCTGACTGGTATACTGGCTTTTCCTAATAGTTACTAAAATTTTGGAGGAACAGTTGTTATTAATAATAATACTGTAATATATTGATAATGTGAATTCAACAAATACAGATGCATTTTGATATCTGACATGTGGGCTCTTTATTAGTATTATCAGTGGAATGTGAGAAGTTGTGAAGCATTTCATCTAGCAGATCTGTTGAGGGTTTTGGAACTTGTGGTATGTTGTCATCTCTAGATGGATTCTGAACAATCTGATTTAGATTCTTTGTGCCTTCTCTACTACCATGAGAAAATTAGAAACTGACGTAATCTTGGAGTGAACTTCTTTAGCCAAAACCCCATTCCTGGTGGAAGAGGCTACAAATGACCTGCAGGTGTGTTTCACCTGCCTGAGGGCTTAGCTCTCTAGTGATGTTGTTAGTATTCATCAGAGGGCTGCACTGCCTAATGCTCTTGAGTGATTCACTGGAGCCTGAACTGTAGTGAAACAAACCACAATTAAGTGGTTAAAGTGATCCATAGTAACTAGAATTCAGGTGTAACACTTTTTACCTTATTTAAATAAATTGATTGGACTTGCCTGCCTCCAGAACTGTGTGAGAATAAATTTCTGTTCATTATAAATTACCCATTCTCAGGTATTCTGTTATAGTAGCACAAAATGGACTAAAACACCCTCTCAAGAACAACCTTGTATATTCAGTCTTGTAAAAATGTCATAGAGGTTTCTTGAAAAGGAGAGCTGCAACTGAAAGAAAAAAAAATAGAGAAGACAGCTTAGGTTCAAATTCCAGAGCCAGCTGAAAAGTAAAGATGAAATTGTGCCAGAACAATAAAAACCTCTTTAAACTAGAACTTTCTTGACTATTCATTGTTTTTTATATTTTTTCCCTTAAAATAAGAACTTTTTAAAGTATAACATTTTTTTGAGTACCTACTAACTTGATTTATACTGTAGTTCACTAAAATGAAAGAACAGTGATTACTGAGATATTTTAATTTTTCAATTATCAGGTAAAATGGCTGAAATGGTTGAATGAAGAAGTTTATGTGATTGGTGTTATGCTTGGCCAAAGGGAATGGTTGGCCAGAAGCCAAAATGAGAGCATATAAAGAGATACTCACTTAGAAACGGAAAAGCAGTGTATCTGATAGCCTAAAAGTGTGTGTGCACTATTTAGCAATTGTATTTTTTCCTAACAGACAAAATACAGAAATATAGTCTAAAATTCACCATTCTTTTTTCAAGTATATTAATTAAAGTAACTCCACAGTACCTGTAATTCAGATATGGTACCATCCTAGCATCCTGCTACATTCTATGACAAGAAAGGAAATTGGTGTATGCTTTATCAAAGCTTACCAAAGGAGGCTTATTTATTTACTTTTTAAGGACCTGGAATGAGGAAAGTCTAATATGTTCTTTTTCTTCAACAAAACAACTTCAAACTTTCCTTTGTAACTGGTTCTTCACTCTTATTTATTGCTTCCTGGATATAGCTCAATAAGTTTTCACCACTAGTTAACTAAAAAGAAGCTCTTTTAGGAACTGAAAAGTGTTTCAAGTTTCAAAGATACAGCCTTTTATGTGTAATGGCATTCTAGCTCCTAAGCTGCTTCTAAATGTTTATTGCTGGATCTTCCCTAGTGTTGGAGGAAAATATAGCTGTCAAGGACCACAGTCTTTCTTCTATTATTCAGGACCATTCTTTTCTCTTCTTTCTCTTTTTTTAGCTGTAAAGAGATACAACTTTCACTTCCTCGTAGACCCTATGATATAAACAATGCATAACTGTATTACTGTTTTTTAAAAATTGGCATTTATTTTTTATTTTATTTGAAAGGCAAAGAGAGACAGAGATAGACACAGAACCATCCAATGGCTTACTCCTCAAATGTATATAACAGCCAGGGCTGGGCTGTAGCCAGGAGGCTAGAATTGCTGTCAGTCTCCCACATGGGTAGCAGTGACCCAAGAACTTACACATCACCATCTGCTTCTTAGGGGGTGCATTAACAGGAAGCTGGGTCAGAAGTGGAGGCAAGAATGGAACCCAGGCATTCCCAAGTGTGTTGTGGATCCCAAGAGGCACCTTCAGCCTCTGTGCCAAATGCCTATCTCTGTATTACTATTAAGTGGGTTTTTAAAAAAATACTTTTTATTCTTTTCCAGAGTTGTTTAATTTTTATGTGTGTAACTTTTTTTAGATTTATTTATTTATTTGAAAGGCAGAATTACAGAGAAAGAAGAGAGAGAGAGAGATTGATTTTCTATATACTGGTTCACTTCCCACATGATTGCAATGCCTGGGGCTGAGCCAAACCACAGGGAACTCCATCTGGATCTTACAAGTGGGTCATAGGCACCCAAGTCCTTGGGCCATCTTCTGCTGCCTTCCCAGGCACATTAGTCGGGAGCTGGATCCAAAGTGGAACAGCCAGGATTTGAACCAGTGCTTGTATGGGATGCCTGGGTCACAGGCAGTGGCTTAATCTGCTGTGCCATCATACTGGCCCCTGTATTTTTTTTTTTGGACTTATTTCATAAATTTATTTCTTAGCTCAGCAATGCAGTATACTGTACGGTGTTGGTTGTTTACCTTCATGATCACCTGGCTGACTGGGAGCTGTGTCTGCTGCTGTTGCTGCCTAGCATCACAGGGGAGTACCATACAGTGTATTGCTAGCCTGGGAAGAGGTCAAAGTGCAAAGTTGAAGTGCAGTTTATACTGAACACATGTATCTTTCACACCATCATACTAGAAAAACCATAAATGGAACCATTGTAAGTTGGGGACCATCTGTATTCTTCATGTTTACATATTGTAGATTTTAAAGCATCCTCTCATTTAAGAGATGGGAGGTTTGACTTTGTTTAATACTTTGTATATTTTTTATCATTATTGGTGTTTATAACATGTCCAAATGAATGCAGGAACTATTGATGACATTGATACCACTGGATTTTTTTTTTACTTTTGTAATGTAAAGTGTTATTTGGATCAACTTACAGTTTGCTTAGAATAGATGCCCAGGAACATTCTAAATAATTTATTGAGGTATCCTTGCTATTTTATGATCAATAAAATAAATTGATTTTAAATGCAATAATAATAATAATCCTTGGATTAAGTTTTCATTATTCTTTATTTTGAATGAAGTTGCATAAAAATTATAAAAATTGTTTTCAGTTTCACATTCTAAGACTCAAGTGTCAGTGAAAACAGTAATAATGTCTAAGAACTGTTGTTATCATTTCAAAAAGCCTGATGAAAATGTTACATTGGTCACAATAAGACTGTACCAGCTAACTGAAAGGCCAATTATTTTCACTTTGGTAGGAATTTTATTGCCTTTGTGTGGTAACATTAATTATCTCTGTATCTGGCATATAGTAGTGGTTGAATGTTGTTGAGCATGCTGATCAGAATATTTGATTTAGTTATATTAATGTTGAGTGATTTAAAGGAAAGGAAAATGGGTTTAAAGAAAAGAGTTTCAGAACATGCTATCAAATACAAAAATGATACCATATGATGAAAGGTTTGGAAACTACTAACTTTGGTAATACAAATTTGATTGTTTTAGATAATTACCATTTGTCTTGGTTCTAAATACATATTAATTTCTTTTGGCAGGGTATTTTAAGCCTTGAATATTGTGTGGGTATTATTGGTGGCAAACCTAAGCAGTCATATTACTTTGCTGGATTTCAAGGTTAGTGATTCTGTAAAATATGTCTCTTAATTGTTTTCTTTTAAAAGTCAGAAAGTTAATATGAGATCATCCGGAAACAGGATGGATGATTAGCAGAGTAAAATGAGTGCCTTATCCATTCATCAGTCCAACCATAGCCACTCATTTGTCATTTGGTCCACAGCATAATTGGATTCTGTAAAATGTATGTTTAATTTCTGTTGTTGCATAAACAAGGCATAATTGATTGGTTTCACTAAACTTCAGAAGACACTGCTGCCACATTCTGGCAGTTGCTATTTACATATTTACTTTTTACCAGTTTTAGTGGTGCTAGTTGATGATAAAATGACAAGCAATATGTTCTTCCTGTCAGGATAAAGAAGTGCAATACATTTTTCATATGCAAACTGTAGAATATAATTGTGTGTTTGTGAAAGTAATTTTATCACCAAAAATTAAATGACAGTCTCATCACTTTATAAAAATTCTGCTTATACAAGCATATTTGATTATGCAAAAGTTAATCTATCCTGTGCAAACCTATGTTTCAGTCAATGAATATCAGTCTGGCAAGCTGTTACGGCTTGATTTTTTTTCAGCTGTTCTACATAGAAATTGGATTGTAAGCAGTGTAATAATAAGGTGTTTTTTGAATTACTTGTCTTCTGTTTTGTCCTTGTAGATGACAGTTTGATTTACATGGATCCTCATTACTGCCAATCTTTTGTAGATGTCAGCATAAAGGATTTCCCTCTTGAGGTACTATGGATAGAGAGCTGGTACTGTTTTCTTACTTTATGAAGCAAGCTATTTAGAGATGTGCTAGGTAGTATGCTTTTATGGTATTATAAGTTAATAATCAATGTTTCACTGATTTATAAAACCATAATCAACACGACGGTCAAAGGTTAAGTACTTTGGTGCTGAATTTTAATTTATGATATACTTTCTTCTTCATTTATCTTTGTCTCTAACTTGTTAGATACCCTAGCCCTACTAAAATAAATGATCAAGCCTCCAAGTAATTTTGTAGAAAGACAGCTAAACAGTACTGAAGAATTGTAAATGTTAGGCATGTTAAAAAAAAGAGAGAGAGAAAGAGGGGGAAAAATAAAAGAAAGTAATACACGCGGGTTAGAGTGACAGTGTAACTTATTGAGCTTTTCTGCTAAATTATTTTGCTTTAAGTACAGCAATTAAATCTTAGCCTCATGTTAAGAAGTTTTCAAGAGCTTAGTTTATAGAATTTATACAATTTATATTAGAATATAATTTTTAGAATTTATTTTAGCTTTTATTTCTTAACCTCTCCTTTTCCTTTGTGTGTAGGTCCCTTTGTGATCCAGTATTTTAATTCAGAAAAATTTGAGAGTGCATAAGTGAGACATGTAATTATTACATGATTTTGGTTCTCATTTTCCCAGTTGATGTTTTTACAGACTAAAATGATTTGGTAGAATAAAATAATTTTATTCATTTGAGTGGCATGTATCACTAATGCTAAGGGGCTGGGCAAGTTAGGAATGTAGTTAAGTGCTTTGAGTACTAGCTTGCTAGCTAATATTAATAACCTGTTAGTATTTTAGGGGTAAATTATGAACATAAATAAAGTGTAAGATTTAAATCTGCTTCAGAAAGATATATTATGAAACACCTTAGAATCTTTTGTAAATTATTGCTTCTGCTACAATATAAGTATTTTGAGGCCAGAGATTAGATTTACTTTCTTCTTTCATAATATCTTGCGTGTAAACCTTAAGAAATGTTTGCTGGTTGATTGATTGATACTGAGGGTGGTGCACCATAGAACTGTGCTATGAGTCACATTGTAATTCTGTTTGTTGCATTGGGGGCTTACAGCACTGATTCTTATGTTTAAGTAACATTTCCAATGTAACTATCAAATTGACTCCTTATAAACAGTAGATACCTGAGATTCAGATGGAAAATTATTCATAGTATTTTACTATTACCATTGGCCAGTAGAGAGTATCCATCTATATTTTGAGAGACTCTGCAAAGATGCCAGGTGAATGACTAGCCTGGTTATGTGTACACAATCAAGATTAGAAATACTGCAATTCATTATTGGAAGACTGGCGCAACATGCCAGAGTGAGTCAGAAAAGATTGAAGTAGGATGCTAGTAGTAAAAATGGAAAGGAAGAATTGATTTTAAGATTTTACTTGGTGAATTAAAATGTCATGAAATTAACTACCTTCTTAAATGCACAGAGGCTCTTAGCCTTACATATTGGAGCACTAAAGAGTAGGTTTAGATGCTGTATTTTTGAGATTCTGATAGAATATCTCAGCCAGCCTAGGTAATTCCTGTTAGAAACTTTTCACTTTTCCTCAATGTAGGGCTTTACCTTGAGTAATTTAATTAATAACATAATTTATTTTCCTATGGCTGTATAACACAGAAATCAAAGCAAGTTATCTTTCTTTACAGAGGAATAAAATTTCACATTCTGCCTTTTATCTTAGGTTTATAATATTTGAGATGATTTTAACTACTCTGTATTACTAATCATCCTTGCTTTGCTATATTGATTGTGTGTTAATATGCTATTGAAACTTTGCAGTTGATCATATAATACATTATATGCATTTTGAAAACTGCCTTTTGTAATTCAATGATTAAAATTACTTTTGTTGAAAACTTTTTGATCAATATTTCTTTTTGGTCAATAGATGGAGAAATTGAAATCTTAGATCTTCTGTCCAATTCCATGTAAACAATTGGTAATAGTCCTGATATTTTAAGTGAGTGCCCTACATCTAATAGGATTGTGAATTTTAAGAAAGTAGTAAGATATCAGAATATTTGAGATTGAAGAAGCAGTTTAAACAGATTATATCTATTCTTATAGTTTTCAGTTCCTACACTTCTAGAGTTGAACTTTTTAAAAACCAAATTGGACCAACTTCATTCTTTCTTTTAAACTATCATTTATTAAGCTCTTTCTAGTTGCAGAGTAACTGTCCTAAGCTCTTTAGAGTCCTCTGTTGGACTCTTTTCTTGCCTGTAGTTCCAAATGCTTTGTGTTTTAATTGCTAATTTTTGTGGTTTTCTTATAAAATATATTAGTATATAATGTTAGTTTCTATACTGACTTTTAGAGACTTTTTGGCTATCTTCACTGACTCTTTAACACAGTGTGAAGTAAATGTAGACAACCATATTTAGATCCTGAGTCTGGCAGTGAGGATCTAACAGGGAGATCCTTGGTCAGAACTGAGGAATGAAGCACACGGCTCATTGTGAATGCCAATTATAGTGTATAAACTCACACTTTGTAATTTTCATAGAGATAAATGGGGTTAAAATGCGCAGCAGAACAACCTTAAGGACAAAGGTCATAAGGATAGCTTGAGATGAGAAGAGCATGAGACGAACTTAAGTGGGCTTAAGCTGTGAGGGTATATTGAGTTGTCAGTGGTTAGGACAAAACAGAGTTTCAGTTGTTGGAGTGCAAAGATTAGTGCAGATGCACGTGTATGCATGCAGTACCTAAGTATATGTATGTGCGTTTGCATATGATGCATATATGATGCTTGTGTGTATTATATATACACAGAATTTTATTTGCATCACTGTATGTATGTATAAAATTAAAAAATTAAAGTTTCTTAAACCAGAGACTATTGGGTAATGCTGTTTATGATATGCTTTTGGAATAATAGCTTCTTAACTCTTACAAATACCAAATCCTCAAAAGTAACATAGCTTTCTTAATAGACATGTTAGTCTGTTCTGATTCCTGGATCCCAATTCCAAGTTTCATATTTTAGGACATTTATATATAGTGTTATTTAATCTATCCTTGTAAATTCAGAAATAGTAGCTGAAAATCTATTATAATTATATGACCTGAGCATCTAGATAGATGGGTGAGTGAATTTGTCAGTAAAAGATACGTGTCCTTTGTGAGTTACACATGTGAACTGCACTTAGTAGGAAGCGTTTTAGTAAGGGTGTTCTCTAATTATCTTAGGAAGTTTCATCAACATCACCAAAATGGCATAGCTAAATACCTAAACATTTTTGTTTCAGTATTGTTTGTATATTTAGATAATACGAGCCATTATTCCAAATAATAAGCCAAGAACAATGCCTAGCATTTAGTAGGTACATAACAACCATTTGTTGAGGCAATGAATAAATAATACATTGAAAAATGAAATGAATGGGAATTGATTCAACTTGTCCAGTTTGTTCAGAAACATAATTCAGTATCATGTATCTACTGAACACTTCCTAAGATGCATTTGTGAAGTAGAAGTAACTACTCTTCCCAATCATCAGAATGTTTTAAATGACAAAAGAAATCTTAAGTATGTACCTTAAAGAATTATTGCAAAGTAAACATAGCCCTGTAATACTGTTTGGGAAAATATTTGAAAGTCTAACTTACTCTGTGATAAACAGAAATAATTCTGAATTATAAATGAATGTTTGTCTGACTTGAAAATCTTCTTGGGTGAGTGAAACAATAATTTTAAGTAATAGAGAATACCTTTCTGTGAGTCCTAGTGTTAATGCAGTAGTTCCCAATAGCATTTTCCATTTCAGTGATCAGAGGTTTATGTCTGTTTTTAATTTAAAATGTTCTTTGTATATATCAGAACAACCCTGAATAACAATTTAATGTTTACCATTATATTCTATGATGACTGAGGCAATACAGTGAAATAGCAGTAAGCCTATCCTGATTAATGTTGCTGGTTCCTATGCGAAAACTTTCATCAGTACTTTTGTGTAGGATACTCTCATGGATGAGTTCAGAAACACATGATTGAACCTTGCACAAACTTTTTGTCCCTCTTCTCTATTCCCAAATAGTGAAACTGAGAAACATAGTTTGTATTGGCTTTGGAATTAGTTTAGCAAATGACTGTTTTTAGACACGTATATTTGTAGATTAATTTCTTCTAACTATTGTGCCTTATACCCTAATATAGGCTTGTATATTGTAAAAGATATATTTTAATACCACTTTATAAATAAAACAGGCATAACAATGTCAGCAAAAGTCTAATCAAGACAATACTTGTGTTAGGTCCCAGCTAGCTGGGCTGGACCTCTCTATGTAAAGCAAGGGTTAGCTAAGATTTTGTAGAAGTCATCATTTTGAAAATTCATTTATTTGGTCTGTAATTACTAGCATATTATTGAATTAGAATCTAAACTACAATTGAATTGTTCATAAGAAAAAAAGGAAATTAGGTAGAAGCACAGGGACCACTAACTGGATCATTTAGGATGTAGGGAAAGAGAAAAAGAATGCTTTTGGTTGATTTACTATGAACCTAAAAAGTCTAACAGCCTATATTTTTCCATATATTTAATAATAGTTCCAAGTTAAAATCTCTTAGTTTTAAGCATTGAATGTAGAGATATCCTTTTTAAAGATTATTTATTTATTTGAAAACTGGAGTTATAGAGACATGGAAAGGCAAAAAAATCTTCCATTTGCTGGTTCACTCCCCAAATGGCTGCAACAGCCTGGGCTGGCCAGGCTGAAGCCAGGAGCCAGAAACTTCATCCGGGTCTCCCACATTGGTACAGGGACCCACGCACTTGGGCCATCTTCTGCTGGTTATTAGCCGACTAGAAATGAAGCAACCGGGACTTGAACCAATGCCCATATTGGGTGCCAGTGATGTAGATGGCAGCTTAAGCTACTGCACCATAGCTGCAGCCCAAAATGTAGGGAAATTTTAAATTTATGAGTTCAGATCCAGCCTAGATTATTTCTTGAGCTTGTTCTTTAATTTAAAAACTGTCTCACACTCTGCTCTCATTTGTCCTCCTTTCCTTCTCCCTTAAGCTTGTTAGTATTTCTATTTCCCCACAGAGTTCATTTGTGAAAAGCGTAAGCAATGTGAGTAGGTAGTTTTATGTCCTACTGTTTCACAGACTTTTTATGCATACGGAAAAATACTTGGTAGCATTAGTGATCTTTTAGGGATAAGTTATCCAATGGCCTTTTAAAAAAAGACTTTTTTTTTTTTTTGAAAGGCAGAGAGAGAACTGATATCTTTCATTGCTGGTTCACTCTCTTAAATGTCTTCAACGGCTGGGGCTGAGAAAGATTTATCTTTTATTGCTGGTTCATTTTCTTAAATGTCTGCAATGGCTGGGACTGGGCCAGGCGGAAGCCAGGACACTGAACTCCATCCATGTCTCCCACATGGGTGTCAGGAGCCCAAGCACTTGGGCCATCTTCTGCTGTTTTCCCAGTACATTAATTGAGAGATAGATTGGAAGCAGAGCAGCTCAGACTCGAATTGGTGCTAATATAAGACGTTGACATCACAGGAAGCGGCTTAACCCTCTATGCCACAATGCCAGCCACTCCAATAGCATTTTAAAAGATGCTTAACATGGTACCAGAGTATGTTGGTTAAGAATAAAAAGATTGGGCCGGCGCCGTGGCTCACTAGGCTAATCCTCTGCCTGTGGCACCGATACCCCCAGTTCTAGTCCCAGTTGGGGCGCCGGTTTCTGTCCGGTTGCTCCTCTTCCAGTCCAGCTCTCTGCTGTGGACCGAGAGGGCAGTGGAGGATGGCCCAAGTGCTTGGGCCCTGCACCCACATGGGAGACCAGGAGGAAGCACCTGGCTCTTGGTTTCGGATCGGCACAGCGCGCCGGCCGTAGCAGCCATTTGGGGGGTGAACCAAGGAAGACCTTTCTCTCTGTCTCTCTCTCTCACTGTCTAACTCTGCCTGTCAAAGAAAAAAAAAAAAGAATAAAAAGATTGGAATTATTTGTTTTATATTCTGTCCTTTTCTACTTTTGTATTACCTAACCATGCCAAACCCTCTAGCAAGAGTGAGAACCAGGGCAGCCTACCTAGCTCACCCAGCCCATTTATATCTGTGGCACCTAGACCACTTGAGAGACATGAACTGAAGGGACAGGAGGGCAAGGACTAAAATGGAACAGGCTGGTGGGAACAAAGAAGTTAGAGCACCATTGAGGAGCAGATTAGAATATGCAGTTATGCTCTAACTCGCAAGTTGACTTCAGTATAAAACATTCACATGAATCTGTATATTTGTTTAAAAAGTCTTGATATTCTTATTCAAAGTTTCATAAAGATTTTTTAAAAGCTCAAGACAGACTTCACTGCAGTGTCACAGAACTGGCTAACTTGCTACTAAGCCTTGTCCTAGCCTACGCATGTTGTCTTTTTTAGTGGCACATTTCTCTTCCCCTCTTCAAGTGTTACAAATGCATACCACTTGCTCATGCTTCCTTTCTTTTGTAGGATGACACTGATCTCACATACGGTGCAGCTTTGGTGAATTCAGTACACACAGTGTTGGCTCTTGTGTTTTACAGCTTTAGAGAATGGGAAGGACTATAATAGCAGCCAGCACATGTTTTTAGTTTTGAGAAAAAGCTAGATAGCACATTTTATATAATATTCTTTTATGTACTTAATGCCATCAAAAAAAGGAAAATTAATCCTAAAGGACTTTAAAAATTACAGACATTCCACTGCCCTTCTCCCAAAAAGATGTCGTTTCGAAAAATGGATCCTAGCTGTACAATTGGATTTTACTGTCGAAATGTTCAGGACTTCAAACGAGCTTCTGAAGAAATCACTAAGGTACCTTTACTTAAAATTGTATAATAAAATCTATAAATGATCAATTCGAATTAGAGATGGTATTTCAGAAGACAAAACTATGTGAATTAGGATATTTTGTAAAATTGTCCTTTTAATGTTAATAGGAGTGGAGAAATTTGAGACAAACCAGTAACCAGTTGAAAATATTGATTGCTCCACTAGGTGGCACTGTTGAAACAAAAATCCTGTTACAAAATGTAGCCCCGTACAAGCAATTAGGTTATATTCTATTTGAAGAGGATTTTAAAAGGGCAATCCCTTAGGGGTAGAAAAAAATTAATGAAGTATTTGATCAAGCCAAATTGTGCATTATTTCTTGTTAGTCCAAGTGCTTCTTTTATTTTTTGTAAAGAGAAATGCTATTTTTTGAATTTCTCAGAACTGCTTTATCAAATGAGCTGTGTTGTTACTTCCCAATAAGCTTATCTAACCTGATCTCTTCTATTTACAGAATCTTTGAAGTAGGTTTATTTAACTTCTTATTACCTTAAACTGCATTTTTTTGGTACTGCTAAAACATTTACAGAACCTTAATATCTGTCTGTATATTTAGTACTTTAGAAAATAAAAAAAGCTTGTTATTTAATAATTAAGTATATAATTAGATGGGTCTCTTTACTACTGCCAGTAATGATAGGTTATCATCTTATGATAAACCAATACTAGAGTCATTTTTGGAAATTCTTAACTTGAACTTATAGTAACTTATTGACTTTTTTTACTTCCAGCTAAGTTTATTTAGATTTTGGATATGGAAGGTTGAAATTTTATTTTTACAATGTTAAATAAGTAAATTAAAAAGCTTCATATAAACTTTAGGTTTGGTTTACTTGATCTGCCATCTGAAAAGAAATTTAACAGAAATATGACAGAGAAATGCATAAGGAGAGGAGAAAATGAGATATGTGGGAGCCTCCTTTTCCTTCATTTCTCACAGTTGTCTTTTCGTTCTCCTTTTTACCATGAAAGGTCAAGTGAACGGAAGTAAATATGCATTCTCCATTTTTCCCTCCTTCATTGCTTGAAATTAACATGCACATTTGTATATTTTAGCCTGACAATTCTTTGTCTTTATTAAATATCATGTATATGCTGCAGTACATGAATGTTGGTGATATTGGGAAATACATTGATGCTGATTAACATTTTCCATTAAAAAGTTCCATTGATTTTTTTTATCTAGGTTAAAATAAATATATTTGAAACAGTAAAGCAGTTTACCCCTAACATAGAAACAAACCAGATTATTCCAAATTTTAAAAAAACAAGATTAACAAATGAGTTGTATATTGATATTTTCTGATGAAAAATAGACAGTGATTATGGTTTTTACATTGAAAAGTATTTAAATATTACTCTTGATACATCAGAGTAATATGCATTATTAAGGCAAAGTGAGATCGTATTTAAATATCTTGAAATATACTGAGAATTTTCTTACAGTTAGCTAGCTTTGCTTTAATGTTAGTGTTCTTAATAGCTTTTGTAGCAACAATGAAAACTTACTTTGTCAATTAATAGCGTGATCATGTACTTTTGCCTGGATGGTTGTAAGTTAAGCAGTTTCTGTTTCTTAAAAACTGAATTTGGTACTATTACTTAAACTGTTGTGGTTTTTTTCTCTTGAAAAATTGAAACAACTTAAAAATTATTTGTTTCTATATAGGATATATTTTTGGTTTCTTTTTGAAAATGAAGTATAGTTGTCTAGAGTCTCATGTTTAATTTGTAATGCTCTTGGAATGGATATTCTAACTCTTTGTGCTTTATGATTTTTAAAGTATTAGTAGAAGTCATTAAGCTAATTCACTGTTGAGTAGAATTCAGTCTAGCAGGTATTTGAGTAACTATCATATACAAGGCATGAAGTGACCAACTTGCAGTCTCTGCTTTTGAAGAAGGCATTAAGCTTCTGCTCTCAAGTAACATTTATACTTGCAGAGGGGAAAAAGACAAGTAGACATATATTACTTTGAATATGATAAGCATCCAGATGGAAATAGAAATAAATGGATAGGGGAAGAAAGAGCGTGGAAATGAGAGAGGTGTCACATCCAAGTTGAGGTGCTTTATTGTGATGGTGATATTTAAGATGAGCCTTAAAGTATGGGCTTAATTTTCATTGGCTCAGGGAAAGAGAAGGGGACTTCAAGACAAGGAGATAACAAGAAAAGGCACAGGGAAGAAGAGTATAGAGCTTACCTAGAGAGTGGCACATAGTCCAGTTTGGCAGGTGCCACAGATGTATGTAGGGCAGGATTTCTGTCTTCTACCTGAATCAGAATCTCTAGGGGTATGGCCTGGGGGGCCCCCATTTTAAATATGTCTCTCCAGTGATTTATACACCAAAGCTGAGCACCATTGACATTAGACAGTGCAACACAGAGTATGACACCTGATACTCGTCAGATGGCATAGGACAAACATTTTAATACTTACATATTTTTATAGTCATTTCAGAAAAATATAACTAACCTATTAAAAATGTGATTTTTCCTTAAATTAAAAATGATGAAAAGAAAACTAATCACAATAGAGATTGTATACATAGCAAAAAAGAGTAAAGGGGCGGTTTATAAATGTTCAAGATTTGAGAAACATTGCTTTAGGAAAACTAGGGTGGAATAATGTTGTAGAGTGTCCTGAATGTCATTCTAAAGGTGACATACTTCATGTTAATTTTATTAAATTAATCTTTAAATTTCCCTTTGCCTCTCTCTGAAGAACTTCCATTATGATTTCTTTTAGTGTTGCTTGATGGTGATAAATTCTGTTTTTATTTGGATACACGGTTATTTTGCCTTCATTAAAATACTGAAATAGTTATAAATTTACAGAAAAGTTGAAAATATAATACAAATATTTTTTCCTGAACCATTTGAGAATAGGTTGCTAATGCCTGTCACTCATGGATACTTTAGTATGCAGCTCTTACAAACATATCCACTGTACAACTCTCACCATCTAATTCTCAGAAACTATACCAGTTTCACCATTATCCCAGCATTGCTGTATGTAGCAAAAGGGATCCAATAGAAAAATATGTTGCATTTGTATACCTTGAATCTCCTTTAATTTAGAATGGTTATTCATCTTTCTTGACTTTCAAATAACTTCAGTTTTTTTTTTTTTTTATTTGACAGGAAGAGTTATAGACAGTGAGAGAGAGATACATAGAGAAGGGTCTTCCTTCCATTGGTTTACTCCCCAAATGGCCGCTATGGCCGGTGCTGCGCCGATCCGAAGCCAGGAGCCAGGTGCTTCCCCCTGGTCTCCCATGCGGGTGCAGGGCCCAAGCATTTGGGTCATCCTCCACTGCCTTCCCGGGCCACAGCCTGCAGTGGTCTTCTCATTGCATCCAAGTGGTTGGCACCTAAGTTTGATTTGTTCCTTTACTAGTAATATTAACTAATTTTGGTTACTTGGTCAAGGGGATCTTTCTCTCTCTCTCTTTTTTGACAGGCAGAGTGGACAGTGAGAGAGAGAGAGGAGAGAGGTAGAGCGAGAGAGAGAGAGAGAGGTTTTCCATCTGCTGGTTCACTCCCCAAATGACTACAACAGTCAGAGCTGAGCCAATCCGAAACCAGGAGCCAGGAGCCAGGAGCCTTGAGCTTCCTCCAGGTTTCCTACATGGGTGCAGGGGCCAAAGGACTTGGGCCATCCTCCACTGCTTTCGCAGGCTATAGCAGAGAGCTGGATCAGAGGTGGAGCAGCCAGGTCTTGAACTGGTGCTCATTTGGGATGCTGGAGCTTCAAGGCTGGAGCTTTAACCTGCTGTGCCACAGTGCCAGCCTGCAGTGGTCTTCTCATTGCATCCAAGTGGTTGGCACCTAAGTTTGATTTGTTCCTTTACTAGTAATATTAACTAATTTTGGTTACTTGGTCAAGGGGATCTCTCTCTCTCTCTCTCTCTCTCTCTCTCTCTTTTTTTTTTTTTTTTTTTGACAGGCAGAGTGGACAGTGAGAGAGAGAGACAGAGAGAAAGGTCTTCCTTTAACATTGGTTCACCCTCCAATGGCCGCCGTGGCCAGCGCGCTGCGGCCGGCGCACCACGCTGATCCGATGGCAGGAGCCAGGTACTTCTCCTGGTCTCCCATGGGGTGCAGGGCCCAAGCACTTGGGCCATCCTCCACTGCACTCCTGGGCCATAGCAGAGAGCTGGCCTGGAAGAGGGGCAACCTGGACAGAATCCGGCGCCCCGACCGGGACTAGAACCTGGTGTGCCGGCACCACTAGGCGGAGGATTAGCCTATTGAGCTGCGGCGCCAGCCAGAGCAACTACTTCTACACTGGCATGGATGCCTACTTTTCTCAGACCCATGTAGAGGCTTTAGAAATGAGTTATTTAAGGGGGGAAAGAAAAAAGAACTTGCCTTTATTATTGGAGGGTATTTTCTCTGTATATAGAATTCCATGTCAGCATTGTTTTCTTTCAGTACTTTAAAGATATTTATTCTATTCGCTTCTCATTTCTATCTTTTCTTGATATTCTTCATATCTCTAAGATTTTCACTTATCAAGACCTGTTCATCATGATTGCTCTCACATGCTTTCCAGCAGTTGTTTTAATACTCATTGTCAAAAAAAAAAAAAACCTAATTGTCCATTTCTTCTGTTTGTATTTGGTGCCAGGGCTAATTTGATACAAACTACTCCATCATGTCCCTTTTAATAATTATATTTATAAAATACTTGTTATAGTTATTTCTTTGAAGCTTATATAAAATGTGACTATAAAATAAAAAGATCCAGTTTTCAAATGATAACATAAAATTAGTTTTATTTCTATATTTCATTGAAATCTTTACCACTTGAGTACTATTTGTAGAAAGATAAAGGTTTATAATTTTATTTTATATCTCCCCAAGGGAATTTTGATATTAAAGTAAATTATAAAAGAAGACAAAGTGAATTTGGTTACTGTATAAATAGCAACTCCAGTTTTCTGGGTGCTCAGCATAAAAACTGGATCCCTTGCT